TGCATTTGAAACAATGTCTGATTTTCCAATAGTGGTAACCCTAAGAAAGTTTTAGTGATGCTAGTACCTTTGCTTCAGGTCCAATATTTGCAAGAAGCCGTTTAGTCTTACGAATGACTTATATGTTTATAGAAAATGTATATAACTTCTAGTAGTGCTACAGAAACTAAATTTTTATATTATTGGACTGAGACATGTCTATATGGAGCGACATGGACAGTGAGGAGACTCAAACTTGCTTGAAGTTGAGGCGTTATTATTGGTGGTAACCCCAAGAGAGTGAGAGTTAATGATGAAAGATGAAAGCATATGTTGAGGTTCAAATAGAAAAGCAGGTGCTAAAGCCAATATTTTGGCTGTGGATTAGTGCTTCTGCTTGAGAACTCCATCTCCTCTGTGTTTCTCCTGTTTCTACTCGACATTGATTTCTATCTCACCAACTGTTAGTCTGTTATCATCTGTGTAGCACTAGAAAGAATAAGGACGTGATTATTGTCGAGGAATTTTTGGTTATTGGTTGGTAATCTGTTAATAGCATAAAGATCCACTTGAAAAATACTTGGACTTACATGCATATATTGGTAAACATAGACATTGTCATTTAATATTCACTAGTATGAATCAATGAAAGGACAGGTATGTCAATTAAAATGTTTGATACTTCAAAAAGTTTGAGCTTATTTAATGAATATTTTAATTGCATCCCACTACGGAAAAAGTCATCTTATGAAACATGCATCACATGTGTCAGACATGCCAACAACAAACAGTGTGTAGGCATGTAGTACCAGATGTGATACCCATGACACATCGGATGCGTTTGACAAAAGTTTGATCATACTAAGTATTCTTTATCCGCTTCTACGCTCTTCCTGAATAGGAAATAAAAATGTTTCTTCCAACACGCTCAGACAATAGGGATTCTTTTTGTTGGAGGCTCTCATAGTCAATGGTCCTCCAACTGTGCTGGTGGATGATGCCGAGAAACTGTAAAGAAAGGAATATATCGAAGAACAGGTGGATTGGATGGACAAGTAATGCACTGGAGCAGCAGGGCAGGAAAGAAGAAGGAAAATAAACAACTGAAGCTGGAAAGAATCTGAGGCAAAAGACATCTTTCTTTTGGAGGGGGGTTGGAGGGTTAAAACAAAATAAGGAAGGATAAAGAGAAGAAAAAGGAGGCTACTTATTCTGCTTGGATCTCCATAGCCTGTTTAACTTCTCTGTGATCTCACTCCTGGACAAATTTCTGCTATAGTTGCCTCTTACCGGTAATTCTGTCCAGGCTGGAGTAATCTCAAGTCAGTGATAGTCGAATCACGAAAGGTCTTTTGGTGTCTCAGTCAATCTTCCCAAGTTCAGAGAAATTTGCGCGTGCTTTTGTTAGTTCCTAGTGATGGCATGGTACCTAGCGTACAGCAAACGTGCATCATTTTCGTATCCTTGTTACTGCTCAATGGTTAGGCATGCTTCATATGCTGCAGGAAGCTGAGGGAGCTCTATTGACATATGAGCTGTAACATAACAGGGATTGGATGAAGATACCTATCACATTATATTCACCACCTTGTATCTCGTTGTTATTTTTATTTCTTCATTCTGCTTAAATTCGAATTAACAGATAGTTCCCATTTCATGCCAAGTTGGTTACATACCTTCGAATTGGGTAGTTTTACCTGCATTTTTTTCTCATTTCAGGTCATGGGGGTGCTCGGGCCGCAGAATATGTGAAACACAATCTTTTCAGCAACCTGATAAGGCATCCAAAATTTATATCAGACACCAAATCAGCAATAGGTATATTGACATAGTGTGAAGTATAGTTGCTATGTTCATTTTCAGAAACAGCTTATCAATATCTCTTCTATTCATATATTTGCTTTTGTAGCCGATGCATACAGCCATACAGACTCTGAATTTCTGAAATCAGAAAACAATCAGCACAAAGATGCTGGATCAACTGCTTCCACTGCCATTCTTGTAGGTGATCGTTTACTGGTTGCAAATGTTGGTGATTCCAGAGCTGTTATCTGCAGGGGAGGCACTGGTAAGGCTTAGGTGATATGGTTATTTCTCTTTTTATTTTCGGCTCCTGCTATGGGTATTTCAGCCCAAAGGCGCTAACGGGGTTTATTATGCTTTTTTGGATTTTACTTTTCTAATCTAAGTTGCTCAGACTCGGGTGTGAGTGTTCGATACGGATGCGGATCTAGAGGTTGAATCCTTCATGATTTAAATTTAAGGTTCGGGTGTGCCAATCTAGGTATGGATACGGGTACGGGGATTTGGCTAAAAATAACTCAAACATCTGAAAATAGAGTTATAAAAATATGTGTACATTATTACGCATTATGTGAAAAATTTACAAGGTATTCCGAGAAGGAAAAAATATTTATCAAGAGGAGAATCCGAGAAGGAGATAAAAGGAAAAGGACTGTTCCATTTTGTTCAATTTCACCATAGCATTTGTTTTGATTTGAAAAATCATTGTATTGTCTCGAATTTCTCCGTCGATTTTGGTCAAAGTACCCAAAATCGGTTGACTAGATCTGGTACGGATCCCACACCCATGTCGTGTCGACACGGGTGTGGCACTAAAAGTGAAGAGTCCGAACAACTTAGTTTCTAATACTCGGTCCTAACACTACAATGACTAGTTCTTCATGTTGCGGTATAAAAGTGAAATATCACTGCTCACTGAAGTTAAGAGAACCCGATGAAGGATAAAAACATGAGGATACTTTACTTTTCATTCTAGAGCGAATGGAATAAAATAAAATAAAAGAAAGTACATCTGCATATTGATGGTATTTCCTGAAATTTTGTGGGAATAGGGAAAATGTCATGTCAGCACTTTTAAATACGACACTTTGTGATAGTTCATTTCATTTTCTTCCTTGTTCAACTACCATTAACCAATATCTTTGTTGTATATTACTTGCTAAGTTGATCTAGTAATTTTCATCCTGCTATACTGTTTTGGCAAATGAACTAATTACATTTAGTTTGCCTGTTTTAACGTTCGTTACAGTAGGGTATAGTTGTTATTATAAATTAAATATGACCCTGTAGTTTTGCTGTGTCACCTAATAGAGTATGCTAATTTCACTCTCAGCTATTGCTGTTTCTCGAGACCACAAGCCTGACCAAACAGATGAGCGACAGCGCATTGAAGATGCTGGAGGTTTTGTGATGTGGGCAGGTAAGCCCTTCATGTTGTTTAGTCCTGTGTTAGTCAGTTGAAATGGTTCTAAAAGGCATGCAGTTCAAACATAACATATGGTGTGCAGGTACCTGGAGAGTTGGAGGTGTACTTGCTGTTTCCCGTGCGTTTGGCGATAGACTTTTAAAGCAATATGTTGTTGCTGATCCAGAAATACAGGTAACTTGAAGAACTTGTTTATTCTTTCAATAGTTGAATACGGCAACATAGGGCTGTTCATGTGTTTGGCTGTATATCAAATGTTCTATGTATGTGCACTTGTATTTTTGAACCTATTACCTAGATGTATATTTTGGTAGATTTCTGAAACTGTTCAAAAGTTGGTCCTTATTGAATCGTGGAATACTCCCTACCTTTTTCAGACAACAAACTTTTGCTGCTTAATTGCTCTTGTCCTTCTCATAATAATTTTATGACCTGTGTAACTTTTGGATAGCAGCTGATAGCATGTCTCTTAGAACTTCAATTGAATTTTTACTGCTTTTTCCCATCTTATATACCTAATATTATTGGTGTATTTGTGGGCCTGATTTTCTGTAAAAAATACAGGAAGAAAAGGTTGATGGCTCTCTTGAATTTCTTATCCTCGCAAGTGATGGACTCTGGGATGTTGTGACGAATGAGGTTCATAATTCTTCCCTTTTTTCTTGAAAGAATTAAGAAACCAGCATTCTTTCTGAGCTACACAACCATTAAATAGCCACGGTTCTACTTTAAATATCTAGCAGTTTATAGTCAATTACCAACCTGATCGTTACACATAAATTTGCAGGAGGCTGTGTCGATGGTTAAGCCGATCCAAGATCCTGAGGAAGCAGCAAAGAGGCTGATGCAGGAAGCATATCAAAGAGGAAGTGCAGATAACATCACCATTGTGGTTGTCCGTTTTCTGGGTAACCAAGAGGGTTCCTCTCGTGGTGTCTCGGCTTAAGAAGTAATTGCTCAATTGCCACTTCTAATCCGTGGTAATAGAAGACAAGAAAAACTATAGGACATTACGTAAATATTGAAAATAGATAGACTTATGCGATTGTGATGTAAGAAACCTTTAGAAGACATTGTCAAACTCCAGCTTCTCTAACTTGTAAGAAATGTTCAAGAGTGAATCTGGCACAGTCAATCCGCAATTTGTTGCTGTTTTATGTTCAATTTAACAGTTCGCTTCCACTTACCTGTTGCATACTGTAGCTTGCTGAGAATGAATCTAGAATGGCGAAACTCTTCCAATTATCTATACTCTGTGTTCTTGTAGTTTTCATGTTATTGCATTTTGATTCAGTTGTGTTGTAGGTTGACAGCTTGTGTAAAACTAGTAAATTTATGATGAGTTCTCACCATGCCATGTTCCCTCCTTGGCACGCGTTTCATGCTCGGGATTGAAGCGTAGTAGTTGTTACTGTGTCACATCCTGGCTTGCTTTTCATGATAAGCAATGTTATACCATTGTGCCATTGTGCTATGTAATTCGAATTACATGACTATTCCCTCAAGTCTCTGAAGTGAGATATAGTACTTGAATTGACAAGTTAAACAACATTATACACATAGGACAAATTTGACAAGGTAATAAATTGCCAATATATATTGGATAGTTCATGCATTTATCGAAAGGTACAAGTATGGTTTCTTAGTAGGTGGATAGCCACTAGGTTTCCTTCGAAAAATTATAAAAATATTGGATGATGACCTCACCATATTTTTTTTTCTGAATCAAGTCAAATTTGTATCTGCACCTAACATGATTTAGAAATAAACTCAGGGGTCGTTTGGTAGCCTGTTAGAGAGGAGTTATCCATGTATTAAAATTAGGATTACTTTATACATTGTTTGGTTAAAAGAAGGGGAAAAAAATAATATCCACATAGAAGCTAGGATAAGTTATACAATGTTTGGTTGTTTTTTCCTCTTCCTGTAGCATTCATTTCGTCGTCCATTTTAATGCTTCTGGCTGCTGTACGAAGAGATCTTCTGTTGACCAATTGGTTGCAACTATATTGCCTGGATGTTTTGAAGTATCATAACACTTATACAAACTCATACTTCTGTTCTGCACCAAATTGAGAGCTCTATATTTGCATCTTCTGTGTTTTATTCTCAACGAAGACAACTGCTCACATTTGACAAGCTCAGCAGGGTTCTCACATTCGAACAAGGCTGCAAGGCACCCATCTCATCAAATGCAAATTGAGGGAGAATAAGCAATCATTTTCAACCAAGAGTCTACAGCATATATAACAAAATCATTGTTTTATCTATATGTGAAGAGTAAGACAAGAAGGATATACTTCTCTTGATCGTTGCATCAATTTCCACCATCTTTTTACCAGTAATCTTTACAAGAACATTCTCCATCTTTAAAATGATGAAACCTGTTCCTATCTCTGACGATAATTTCACGATCATAAACCTTTGAGATTAACTTGCTTGCCTGATGACAATCTTTGCAGACACGCAAATTCTTTGTGATGCGAAGAACTGCCCCAGGTTTAGTCTTCAACAACCCAAAAGCAATAGCCAATTTCTCACTATGATAATACAAAGGATTTTCTCTTTCCTCCTCATCAATATCCTGTTGTAGTCCATCAGAATCTGGGACATAGCCTGCAGATTTAATGCAATCCAACATTTCATTTACTTTGGCATATATCTCTTTGGCTTGAGGATGAGTCCTTCCTCCTGCAGTGAACTCGCTAACAACGCCTTCCAATTCAACCACAGAGAAGCCAGGGGCCTTTTTCACTCCCCTGTCATTCATCAACTTCCTTATATTGGCAACATCTTCCCATCTACCAGCGTAAGCATATAAATTAGCTAACAACACATATCGGCCACTGTTTTGGGGTTCCAGTTCAATCACCTGCTTCCCTATTATCTCCCCCAGCTCTATGTTCTTGTGAATCCTACATGCACCAAGAAGAGCACCCAATACACCTACATCGGCATTCATAGGCATTTCTTTTACGATATTTCTTGCTTCTTCCAGTAATCCAGCTCTTCCAAGCAAATCAACTAAGCAACCGTAGTGCTCCATGCCAGGTTCAATGCCATACGCTTCTTTCATATAATGAAAATAGTGTTTTCCTTCTTCAATCAATCCTGAGTGAGCACAAGCACTAAGTAAATTCACGAACGTGATATAATCTGGAGCTACCCTTTCACTCTCCATTTCCTTCAAAAGCTCAATTGCAGCCTCACCTTTCCCGTGCATTGCCAACCCTCCAATCATACAATTCCATGAAGAAATTCCTTTTCTTCGCAACCCTTTAAAGAACTGAAGAGCCTTATCCAAGCAACCACATTTGCAATACATATCAATAATAGTAGTAGCCAGCTTGGAGTCCAAATCAATCCTACTCTTCTCGACCTGTTCAACTATCCACTCACCTTGCTTCAACGCTCCGAGTCGTGTACAAGCCGATAACATGCTTGCAGCAATAAATTTATCAATGACAACATCCTCAGACATCATTCTTTCAAACAAAGCAAATGCCTGGTGAAACTGGTTGTTGTGCACATAAGCTGATATCATAGCATTCCAACAAACAGAACTTTTCTCCGAAATTGAATCAAACACTCGAAAAGCTTCAGCAAGATACCCCAATTGAGCAAACCCACTAATCAATGTGGTCCAAGAAACATCATCTTTCTCATACATATTATCCAACACCCTCTTAGCTTCCTCCAAGAAATGAAAATTTACATACATATGAATCAAATTGTTCTGAGAAAACTTATCGAACCCAAAACCAAATTTTATCACATGACCATGAATTTGCTTTCCTTCTTCCACAGCATTGTCCATACAACATGCTCTGATAACAAGAGGGAGCGTGAAATTATTGGGGCTAACTGAACACTCTAACATTTGGGAGTAAAAAAGAACAGATTCTTTCAGCAGTTGAGACTGCAAGTAACCTCGAATGATAGTGTTGTAGATGAAAGTGTCTGGGTTAGGCAATTTATCGAACACTTGGAGGGCGTAGTTTAAATCACCTGATTCAAGAGTTGCACAGAACTTAATGACTCGACCCATTGCGTCATTGTCACACGACAGGCCTAGTTTGATAATTTGGGCGTGGAATTGCTTGAGTTCAGACATTGTTGAGCATGATGCTAAGCCCCTTAAGAGCGTACCAAGAGTTTTGGTTTTGGGTGATGCTGGAGATTGTGGGGTAGGAATGACATGAAGGATAGAGGCCATATTGTATGTTGGAATTTGCTAATTATGAACTTTGTGCCATAAAGAAAATACACTGACGAGAATCCAATATTTCTAAGATAAGCCAAGGGAGTACTTTATATCTATAGACTATAGGACAAACATGCCTAGTGTAGTCTGTAGAGCTCAACGTCTGATTTGAGAGTAATGCGAGATGTTCATTTATCCTAGTCACTTTATGTACTTTATGTTGCTTGGAGGAGTCCGAAACTGAAATGCTGCCTTTTTGGGCATAAAATACGTTTTTACAGTTAAAAAAGAAGAAGTTACATTTCTACATAATATTGCGTTTTACCTTAATGGAAAGTTAGCCGTTAAAGTTAAACGCAGTATTATACTGCGTTTTACTAAAAAATTGGGCCCACCAAATAAGTGTTCTGCAGGACTGACATAAATAATTTATTTTTTAGTGTAAAACGTAGTATAATACTACGTTTTGTGGAAAACGTTGTATTATAATACGTTTTACACTAAAATTTGGGCCCACCAATAAGTGTTCTGCGGATAACTGACATAACAATAATTCAAATACATAAAACGTCTTATTATACTGCGTTTTACATAAAAAAAATTCTGCACCCCAAGCTAGGATTTGCCTTATTTAAAGGCGTTAGAATTTTATGAAAATCCATTCAAAACTTTCCTTCAAACTTCCGTTCATACTTCTCTTCATCTTATCAAGCATTTGTTTATAATGTCTGAAGAGCCAAAAATAAGGGTTTCATTATATTGGGGGAGGGGGGGGGGTGAGGTTGTAATGGAGAATAACTGTGTGAGGTATAGCTCACCTCCACAGTGTCATGTTAAATTGTCGCTTACAATGGAGTACGATAAATTGGTATCGTTGTCACGTAAAAAAATGAGTGTGAGGAAACATTCGGTGAACCTTAAAGTAACTGGTAGATTTCCGTATTCTGTGACTCCACAGGGGTTTGCTTATTATTCTGAGTTTAACATCGAAGATGATGAAACTCTTAGAGATTTTTTGCGGATTCCGGATGAATACAGGAAATTTTTTATTGTAATAAAATTGTTGGAAATGTACGTCAAGGTTGAAGACGTTCCCAATAATGAGGGTGTGCATAGTAGGGATAACCCCCAGTCATCAGGTGGTTATTCTGGAGCAGTTTTTGCCGGACAGATTACTGATGAAAGAGCTTGCCTTGATTTAAACTTGTCACCACCGGCGAATGAGCAGCCACAAAATAATTTTTCGACTTTATATAATCCACAAGACGACTGGTAAACTTCAATTCTTCTACCCTAAATTGAAATTTATTTATGTTTGAATTGGATCTGTATTAACACTCATATTTTTCATAGGGGGTACCGTCCGAATATGAATTTTACAAGTTATGACCCCGCTCCTAGTTGGAATATGCATAGTTCTGGCGTATTGGACCACGGTGGTCCATCCGGGAGTCATCACCAACAAGAAAATATCCATCATGAAACGTCAACACAGTACGACTTGTAAGTAAAGTGATATAGCTATATGTGAAGTATTTATCTAGTTGAGTAGCTTATCATTTTGTTCTTTTTGTGCAGTGAAAACGAGCAACTTGATGTTCCTGACCTCACACGGTTTCCCATAGACGACGTATTGACTCATGATTTGGCAGATGCGCAGAGTCAGGAAGATGATAGTGATTATGACAACAATGCTGATGAGTCTAGAGATAACACACCCTTCCTGATGAGGGTGATGACGAGGAGGAAGTGGATGCTGAACCTGAGCTGACAGGGAGCATGCTCCTCTACCTCCCGTTAGACCATGAGTGTACGAGTCCCACGTGCCGTTTCATGAGCGGAATATTCCCTACCTTGATAATTTGCCAAGTATGCCAGATGTGGATGCCCTCACAAGGGATGATGACGAAATTCGGTCAGCAATGTGGGATGAGTCTAGACCAGCGGTGCTGGCAAAGGGCATGTATTTCCCCGATAAAGCTCGCCTAATCAGGGCTGTAAAAATCTACAGCGTAAGAGAGTGCCGTGAGATGACGGTAAGGGAGTCAACTACGGAGGTATACAAGGCTGTATGCCGTAGAGACTTTATGGGTTGTCACTGGATGTTGTGTGCCAGCAAGAAGAAATCAGGGTTGTGGAAAGTGGGTAAATTTATTAGCACCCACAGATGTGAAATTGACACATTCAATGAGAATCATTTCAACCTGGATGTAGACTTGATTTCTCTTGTCTTGATTCCATATTTGGAAGTGTCCATTAGGTTCAAGATTAAAGAGTGTGTTACAGCCGTCCACCAGGAGTATGGTTGTATTATAACCAAAAGAAAGGCATATCTCGGTCGCAAACGTGCCTTTGAACTTATTTATGGCGACTGGGATAAGTCTTTTTCATCTCTGCCCAGGTACATGGCCGCACTGCAACACTTTAACCCCGGGACTGTTGTTGAATGGAGGCGTGAGCGGAGTCCGGACAGACCCGAATATATTTTTAACTATGTGTTCTGGTCATTTAAACCAGCAATTGATGGTTTTGTGCATTGTCGTCCTGTAATTTCCATAGACGGTACTCATGTCTATGGAAAGTATGATATTAAGCTTTTGATTGCAGTTAAAGTAGATGCTAACGGACAAATATTTCCACTAGCTTTTGCCATTTGTGCCAACGAAAGCGAAGAGACGTGGACGCATTTTTTGAACCACTTGAAGCAGCACGTTGTCAGATAGCGTTCAGGTATTTGTCTAATATCTGATCGGCATGGTGGTATTTTAAGTTCTGTACGGCATTTGCCTGAATGGAAAGAACCCTATGCATACCACCATTACTGTGTGAGGCACCTGAAGGCCAATTTTCAGAAGAAATATCACGACAAAGCCTTGCATGATTTAATGTGGATGGCTGCAACTGAGCACCAACAGTGCAAATTCATAAGGCGCATGGAAGCAATCCGGCAGATTGATCCACGAGCCTATACTTGGTTGATGGGACATGAGCTTCACATGTGGACATTGCATGCTGATGGCGGCAGACGATGGGGAGCACTGACTACAAATGTGTCGGAGTCATTCAAAGGCTTGTTGAAGTCTGCCCGTGGATTGCATGTCACTACCATGGTCCACATGACATTCAAAAAGATTGCGGAGAGGTTTGTTGAAAGGTATATAGCTGCATCGACATTGATGGACAGGGGTGTTCAATTTATGCCAATACCGATGAGAAGATTTGAAAGGTACAGGAGGCGAGCATATTGGCATTCATTTTACAGTACGATCACGACCGGGGTGTTTTTGAAGTTAAGACCGCTATCCGCGGACACCGGGTGAATAATCTACAGATAGTGAATGGACCATCTACCACATGCTGTGCGCACATGCCTTAAAGTGCTTTCAACAAGTTAGTTTAGGGGCAACCAATTATATTGATAGGCAATATAGTGTTGCTGCATACGTAGACACCTATAGTGGGCAGTTGCAGCCATTGGGTGCTGAGCATTATTGGCCGCTGGAACCTTTTAAAACGGTGTGTAACAAGGACTATTTGCGCAAGCTGAAAGTGCAAAAGAGAACGCGTATACGGAACCAAATGGATGTTGGTGACACCGTTTATGCGCGTAAATGTGGCATATGCTCCCAAACTGGACACGACCGTCATAAATGTCCTTCAGGTGGTGTGCCTGGCGGTGGTAATCCAGCTCCTGGTGCAAGTTCATCGAATGTACCCAACTATCAAGGATACACCTAGTCTTTTGTTTTCGTATTGTTTTTTGTAATACGTGTCTGTACTTGTATATGTTGCAATATCTATCAAATAAAATTATGAATTGGGATGCTGATATGTTATTTCAAATATTAAACTTATTGGTGTTTGTAAAGAAGACCAATCTTAAAATTAAAAAAAACCCTATAAAATCAAGACATCCTTTATTATCCTTATTGAAAATTTACTTCTTAAAATGGTCGCTGTCTTAATAAACGAATCGAAGAAAATAACTAAAGTTGTTTTGTCTTAGAAAAATTTAAAATATAAAGCGTGGTATAATACTATGTAAAGCATAATATTATAATGCGTTTTGTGTGTTGTCTTGTCGGTCTGAAAAATCTGATTTAAACTGCGCAAAAGCTGTTTCATTTCAGAAAAATTTACTATGTAAAGTGTAGTATTGTAATGCGTTTTGTGTATTGTCTTGTTGGTCTGAAAAAGCTGATTTAAACTGCGCAAAAGCTGTTTCGTTTCAGAAAAATTTACTATGTAAAGCGTAGTATTATGATGCGTTTTGTGTGTTGTCTTGTCGGTCTGAAAAGGCTGATTTAAACTGCGCAAAAGCTGATTTAAACTGCCGGGGATGAGGCATAACTCAACCTGTGCCCGCCATCCACGTCTCGGGTCGGCCGATCCTCAGCTGCGGTAGATGGGCCTGAAAAGAACTGGTCTACATCTCCGTCGAATATACCCATGATCGATAATGGATATGACGGGGTGACCTGCGATGCTGGCAGATCCAGCTGAAGGCTGTACGACGGCATGCTGCTGGAATTCTCGTCTAGCTGAGGCAAATAACCCGGCTGATCATCTCCAATATCCTCATCTCCAGCCTCAACAGCTGGGTCGACAGGTGCCTCAACGCCCCCTTGCTGGGGACCACCTCCTCGCCATCCACCGCGACCCCGTGGGGCACCCCTGCCTCGTGGGATAGCCCTGCCTCGTGGGGCAGCCCTAGCTCGTGCCCGACCCCTGCCTCGTGGGACAGGCCTACCCCGATGGTGCTCCTCTGGCGCCCCATACTCAGCCTCGTGAGCCAACCTCGCGCCCTCTCTGGCTCGCTGCAGGGTCCGGAGAGCCAGCTCTTCCACCCGCCGGCCATACTCAACGAGTGCAGCATTGTCGCCATACTGCTGCATCTCCTGTCCCAACTGTTAGAACAAGTGATGCCCAATAGCCCGCACAACATTTAAAATATTAATTAAATAACGCTATATCACAATTATAAGACTTATCCCACAAAAACATACCAGTGCCTCGTGCCTCCCGGCGTATGGTCTGTACCGACCGCCAAGTACATGAACGGGGTTCCCGATCATCAGTCGGGTGTGACGGCGGTACCATGACGTATAGAGCTCAATAGTCGCCTCCTGGATCTGTGAAGGTGGTGCCGGAATCAAGTCCTCTCGCTGGTCCCAAATATGGACCTGCGCCTCTAGCCATCCTACAAATTCATCGTCTACCCTAGAACGAT